TTTAAGAAAATTTGGGCGGCGAAAGGTGTTCACTGCTGGATAACCCTCTGTTGACGATTTCGGTTTCCTCTTGAGCTCTCGCATTTTGTCTACCTTCACCTTTCGTAAATGCATTATCTTTCTTCGGGTCAAGAATTGATCCAGGAATTCATCGACTTCTGCATCTCCCGATAAGAATTTCTCAGCTATTTTCTGGACACGAAGGAGAATACAAATAAAAATCACAATCATCATTTAATAATTGTTTATATAATTGCTTAAATAATTACTTCCGATTCTTCTTCAATTTCAGCAGCAGCTCACAGCCTTTCTCAGACAATTCATGTAATGCTTTTTTATTCTCCTCGAGTTGGGGTTGCTTTGCCAGATTGACTTCGGCCAGAGAACGATTTCCAGCGATCAGAACTTCCTTTTCAGATTCCAATTCTTTAAATTAGAAAACCTCACGAAAAGTAAGTAAGTCGCTAATCTAATAATAAGACAAGAAAATAATGAGACAACCGCCTTATTATCCATTTATTGTCATCGATAAAATAATTCACCTGTTTTATGTCATTGACAACTTCCTCGAATCTTCCATCATCGTTCAATATTTCTCCCAAATCAGTGTTGCTGAGATGCTTCAACATCGACAATGCAGCTAGAATATCCATAGAAATTGATGAATTTATTATTAATTCATTATTATTTATTATTAATAAATGTCATGGTTCTTTTTTGATTCCAGGTTTTCAAATCATAACAATTTCCCATTTATTAACATAGTGGATTAGGCCTACAGGGGATACCACTTTAAAAAAAACGCGTCAAGGACTCTACCTCTAGGGTGACGTGGAAAGAGTTTCACTTTAATTACTTGATTTATGAAAAAATAGTCAATTCTGGGGAAGAATCTCTCGTATTGAAATAATCATATACCCATTGTTCATTTATGCTTTTGTAGACAATTTTTATGTCATACCTTTTTTTTTCATGTCAATTTGAAAGAAAAAAAATCAAACATTTTATGGATTTCAATTAATTTAAATTACAGCAGATGGCACTGCGCATTTATTCCAATCATATGGTGGTATTTACATCAGTTTACATCACACATTAGTCAACATAAATGAAATGCATTGGCGTTATTGGGGATAATTGAAGGAATATATTGTAAAAAACGTGATGGATGGTTAGTTATAAGTAATCGATGGATAAATCGGTGGGTGTCTGCGGTGGAGTTGAATTACGAGGAATATCGAGACAAGTGCTCTAACAATGGCTCTCTATGATAATAAACACTGGTTGCTCTCTCACATCAGAGACAGTTTTATATCAACTGACGACACCGGTAATTTATTTAATCTCTCATTGCTCAGGATTTAATCCCATTGTTTAATTGACACCAATTAAATTATTTGTCTTGTCTTGTAATTGTAATCAGATTGTCCATAATTTTCTAGAAAAAAATCTTGGTTTGACAATTTATTTTGCTCGTTGAATTTGCAATTCTTTATTATTTGCCAAAGGGAGGATTGCACCCCACAGCACCACAAAATTGGCAATTGAAAAATTTTTTGAATAATTTTTTTTGATAATTTTTTAAGTGAAAATTTTGGGGTGCTGTGGGGTATATTCAATTAATTTGAGGATGTTAATTTAATTTAATGGTCCGATAAGGTATGTGCGAGCTGGTGATGCTTGGTGAGGACATACCAAAGCAATTGAAAGCAGATGGTGAACCCTGTTACCCTGGTGATGAGGAGAGCGACGATGAGGACTTGGACGCGATGTCTGAGTCCTACGACATCCAAATGGGTACAAAAATCGTGAGGCCATCAAATTATTCAATAATTCATACCATTAATTTGACTTTTAGACATGGAATTTGGTCATCGTCCCCGATCCAATACAGCCCAACGCCTGGAAAAAATGGAGATGGAAAGAAAAAAAGCTGCCAAGATAAAACACATAAAGTGGGAGCCAAACCCCATAAATATGAATGAAGAAGAGAAATTCGAGATGTTCAAACGAAAAGATCTTCGCAAACAAAATGAAATTACCAAACCAAAGCGACAATCACTGTTGTCTGAACAATTAGTTAAATCTCCACTGCTGCCACGTAATCCATTCACAGAGTACATTAAATTTGATGGAAATGTACGTGAATTATTTTTTTTTATTCGTGTATGTACATTTAAATGATCTATTATATACTTTCAGGCCCAAATAGGTGTTCATATTCGTAAATACAGGATATATATGTGCATGCTGAGTGACGAGGAGCGACGATACCCTTTACAGATCGTTGTTCTGGGTACAGCCAAGGTCCAGGAGTTCATCGGCCTGATCTGTTATAAATATGCCAGCGAACATCCCAATCACAATCTCAAGTATTCATCATGATTGAAATTTTAATTTTAATTTTATAAGAATTTAAATGATTTATTCAGGGAAGACATCACGAAATACGGTCTATACATAACAGAAGACGATGGAGAAGTCGATTGGGATTTTCCCTGTCTGGATCCTCGAGAAGTGATATCCAAATTCGAATTTCCATCCCTATGTCTCGTTGAAATGCGAGCTTGTGATCGTGCCAGGCACGATCCAATTGATCCAATACGAATTGCTGATGAGGAATCGCCTGCCACTAGTAAAATGGAGCAGGAGATATTCGCTGAGGATTTAGCACGTATGAAGGGACACACCACTGCCATGGAGGCACCTTTATATCAATTATATAGGTGCGAAAATATCAGAAAGTATCGATCTGAAAAAAATGGCTAAATAAAAATTACGGAGGAGTGAGTGAAATGAATAATAATTTTCGCATAATCGGTTTTATATTTAATTACAGAGTACATATAATAAATAAAGTGAGAGCAAAGACTGAGATTCATCTTGGAATATCCGGTGATAAAATTGAGATAGATCCTGTGATAACAGGTAAAGGTGCCAGTAGATTCTGGCATCGACAACGAGCTGTCTCTTATCAGATGGATAATATTGCCTGGTGTGAATTGACTGAAACCAAGGGCTCAAAGACAACTTTCACGTTAATATATACTCATCAGTCTATCTCAGATACACTACTACGTAATTAATCAAAATGAATATTATTTAAAATTAATTTCTCAACGAGATGCGTGAAATGAAAGAATTTAATTTTATGAATTTCAGTATCTTCAACGCATTCACACTCTCTCAATCAATCCACCTCATTCAAAACCCATGATTTCGAGGCTGATGCGTCAGTCGCCGAAGAAATAGTCCGAAAAATAAATCACATCCTCGAACTGCGAAGCAGCAATGCGAGGAAAGAATTCTTACAGCACAGGGAACGAAAAGCTGCCAGAAGAAAGAGTTTCAGTCTTCACAGATGATGAGAAAATTACTAGGAAATCTAGTTATCTCAATCCTAATCTTCAATTTAAATCACTTTTAATACAATATTTATTTTGATAAAAAGAATGACTGTAATTATTGCATTTTAATTTTCTTATTGAAAAGTTAAGATACGAAATAAAGAGAATAATTCACTACTTAAGGATTAATATTGAGAGCGATTGAGTTTTTATATATCAGACAGATCCATCAGTTGGCATTTGGCTACATTCATCTCTTGATTGATTGTTTCAGCGATTGTCTTGGAGAGGTGATCAACTTGTGTATTCAGTTCGACGGATTTCACTGCAATTTTCAGTAAATTGTCTAGACTCCTTGATGTCGCATCGTAATCGGGACGTCCTGCTATGAAAGCTCTTTCTTCGTCTGTGAAAAGGGAAAGATCTAATTCAACTCCAGCAGCAACTTGAGATTCTTCTTTTGCGAGGCATCTCCTCTGGGATTTTCTCTCATTCAAGGTCTTCTTCCAGGCACTTTGCTCCTTTTTCAATGAAGATATGTAATCACTCAGGTCAAAGATTTCCTCCTGGGGGTCTTCGCTATTTTTTCTCGCTTCTGATTTCTGTTCTTCGTTGATTGCTTCGACGTAATCTGGAAGCCATAATTATTAACAATTATCACAATTCGATTGTTTAAACTTATTTTTACCTTGTTGACGTGTATTTATAGATCTTCGTTGAAAAATTGATGATCTACGTTTCGGTATAATTAATTTTGAGGGGATATCTGTCCCCTCGGAATTCACCAGCTCTGAAGTTTCCAAATCAGCCATTCTAAACAATAAAAATTCTTGTTGCGAGAATTTTTAGGTTAGACTTTTGAAAAACACAAGAAACAATTATTTATCGCACTGTAAATAACCTCAACCATTCACCTCTTATTTCTTCTCAAGTGAGTAACCCTTTATTCAATGATTACTCATTTTTTAAAATAATCTGAGAGTAATTAATTCTCAATATTCAAAACTGTTTACCCTGTTTACCAACGGTAACAAATTCAAATTTGAGATTTCAGGGACAACTGCGCATGTGTCGATCAAGATGCGCACGGCGTTCTAGTGTTTTGCCTCCGACTCAAAACATTGTCATTGTTTATATCAATTAATTTTCCTTTTTTGTAAATATAATAATAAAAAGTCATTATGAAACCTACTCCAGTGGCTGACGAGATGTTCCCCGAAGGTGCGGGGCCTTACATGGACCTGGAGGAGGTGAATCACCACGAGAAATTACTGACACTGTCTTTCATATCGTTCTCTTGGTTATAAATTCTCATACAGATCGTATTGTTTATTAATCCGATGTTATTACCCCGTTATTTCAGGCTGGAGGATCTTTAAATTTATTAATGGATCTCGCTGCTAATGAAAAAGCTGTCCACGCTGATTTTTTCAATGGTATGATTATCAAAATAATAAATAATATCTCCGGAACTAAGGGAGATAGCAAAAATTCTGTAAGAGACTCATTTGTAGCTGTCAATTAGCTATACAAAAAAGATTCTAAACAAATTTCGATATTGATCTTAGATTCCGAGGTATTAATTAAAAATAAATCATCTGTGAAAATTTGGGATTCCTGTGATTTTCCAGATTTCGAGGATTTGTACGACGACAATGATCTCGACTAGGACAACTCCAACAATCATCTCCTCCGGAAATAATAAAATATTTGTTCATGAAATAAACATGGAAACTCTCCCCTTTATTTGGAATCGTTCAATAGCTCGGTGAAATAATCAGAAACATCAATTCTGTATTCTTATAATCAATTAAAAATGGAAAATAATTATGGATTAATGATTCATTAACTGTCTTAAGGAACTATATCTCTGTAATGATATTACAATTCTTTTATTTTCATAATTCCACCAGTTTGAGTTTCAGGAACTATTCCAGATTAATCAATGAATTCATATTCAAATTTTCAATTACCACATATCGTAATTATTGTTATCATTACTACTATTATTATTATTATAAATGTGCCATATGAAAATGAGTAATCGTACTACATTTTTATACATTTAATTGAGAGTAATAACTCTAAGATTATCGTAATTTATAATACATACATATGTGGCATATAAACCCTTCTGTTCAACTCTGACCTGTCCCACGAGGGCCATGCGCGATTAGAAATAGCACCGATGTTTCACTTCTTGTTCCAAAATTTATCGAAAATCATCAGCTTATCAGTTCAATCTAAATGTAGAAATTCCTATTTTGTGGAATATCTCATCAGATCTCTAGATATTCAACAAAAATCTGGAAACATATCGTTTTACTCCACCCAACTCTCAATGGATTTATTTTCAATACAATAGGTCTTAATTGCATTCACGATGACAATACAATAAACGAAATAAACAAAACGTGAAAAAAAAAGAACATTATCAACTTACACTTTTCATCCTCACTTTATCCTCAATTAAATTCACTCGAAAAAAGAAAAATAATCGTACAATAGGTGTTCTATCAATCGATCAAAAATAATAATAATAATAATAATAATAATAATAATAGTTACAGTTACAGTAGTAACCGAATTGATCCACTTGTGTACAAAAATTAGCGAATACAATATTAACGCGCTAAAATTCATGTGGCCAATTGATAAATTCAATTTTCTCCTCACGAAGATGTGGAGACACATCTCATTATCATTCTCAAAAAAATACAATGCCTTTTTCTTCATTTTTCGTGATTTTTTTCCTTTTTTTTCGTAACTCAATGCGTAAAATTGAATAGTAAAAATAAGCGAACGTTAATGATAGTGTAGTTGTAATTGAATTAGCCAGTGTGCTAGTTTATGTCAACATCACTATCCACCTGTTCATCCTGATCGCTATCAAGGTCATCCTCCTCATCGTCAGAGCAATACTGAGATGGAGGTGACATTGCCTCTTCGGAGAGTGATGTACGAGAGGATGATGGGGGTCTTGAGCTGGAGCCTTCTAGTTTCAATTCCAATTCTTCCATGGAAGTACTTGGTCCAGGAATGGTTACGGGAATGAATTTTTCAAGATCACCCGAGGATAGCTCTGTAACATTAAATAATCATTTTAAATGGATCGATTTTACAGCAATTTTAAATGTACAAAATATTGATCTTACGCTCGACATATTTTTCCAATGATTTAGGTACCATAGCTTTAGATTTACGCAAATTTTCTTCCGTACATTCTCCTTTCTCCAGTCCTGTAGAAAAAATTAAATGATCGTTTGAGATAATAAAAATTTTTGAGCTAAATATCAAAATGAAATGTGACATTTACCAAAGGCCAATCCCATGCGTTTCAGAACCTCAATATCGTCATGGATCTCAAACTTATCATTAAAATTGAACAGGTACTCAGATTTATCGTTGGTGATGCTGCAGTCTACAACAGTCTTTTTGCTAGTATTTAATATAATGAATGGCAATTGTATAGCTGAGTTTGGCTTTGGTGGGCCATAGAGATTCTCATTCATGCTGTTACGTTCGACCAAATTTTTGAATGAAATATGTTGCAGAATAAGTTGATGCAGCTGCTGAGTTTTTGTCTTAATCCGTTCAATTTTCTTTTTCTTATCCTTTTCGAGGGATAAACACTCTTGATGTGAATTTGTTGGTAATCCCAACCATCGAATTTCCTTTTTCTCTTTTGATATTATGTTCATCGCCATGAGGACATTCAGAGCGTCATACACTCGTCTGCGAATATTTTTCTGATCGTATTGCTGATCGGTCAGAGAATTCACGTGCGATGGATTCGTAAATTCACCCACGAGCTCGTCAGCCACCTCATTGTACGACGTTGTCCCCTTCTTCTTCACTTTCTCACATACTTTCATGGAAAAATGTCGCAGACCTTTTCCAACTTTCTCCGTTTTTCTTCGTTTGCTGATGGAAATTAAACTGCATTAAGCATTAAATATTTTGCAATAATAAATTAACAATTTGAATTTTAAACAAAAATATCTTACTCAGGGACAAAATCACCACCATCAGCATCATGGCGCTTTCGATTGGCACTGTGATCCAGTAATGGTGTGAAAAATTTTCCTGACACATCTTTGACAACTTGCTGAGCATTGACTTGTTGTGATGCTAAAGCCTGTTTAATATCAGTCTATAAAATTTGAAAAGCCACAAAAATAAAAAAAGACTTCATCGTCTCCTCATTCTTCATTTTAAACAAGTAATTAACGAACCATTTGAGCGGTTGTCAACTGTATCGTCTTGGTCGTGACTGAATCATTGGATTTTACCGCCGAGACTTTGGCATTCTGCAGTGGTATCGTCACCAGTCCTATTCAAACAAAATGCAATAAAAGTTAATAATATTTGGGAAACAATTTAGCCAACACAAGACTCCTTTCTCAGCTGCTTCTCTGTGAGTGCACATTAATGAAAAAATAATTTAAAAAACCATGAATAGCTCACGTTGTCCCGGTGTCGATGGGCTCCCAAGACTAATTGTTCTGACAACTGGTGTACCAGAAGATAAAACCTGATGACAATATGAGATATATTTTGGGTTAATCAAACGCGTGCATTATTCAATATTAAATAATTCATATAAAATTACTTGTGACTCCTGTCCTGGGGTCTTGAAGACCTTGATTCCCCCCGCATTCGTCGCCCCCATCATGTTGCTGAGGGTTTTGTTGGGGGTGCTTTGAACGACTTTAATAACTTGTGTTTGCCCTAAGAGAAAAAAAATAACCATCGAGGAAAAATGAATAGCCAATAATGCCCACCTCGTGGAGAAAAATCTCCCAGCCACTCCACAAACAATGGAACAATATTAAACAATGATAAATAAATGAAAACAAAAAATATAATAACAATGATAAAATGTGCACGTTGCAGGTTGAGTAATTTTGGAGCATTCCGAGGTGTGAGGATAAAGCACACAAAGAATTGTACAATTTTTCAGTCTAACTGAATATAAAATAAATAAAATTACGAGTGGAGGGAGTAATTAACGGGATAATTGGGGGTATAATGAGACGATTGAGAGGACGAAAGAGTAATTTATGAGAATTTGTACTGGGAGAAAAGGAATATTGGTGGAGAGTGTTGAGTATTGGCGGGCAGATTATGTACTCACCATTGGCATCGTGTATTAAAAAATTCATTGTTTTATTTTGTTGTGTCATCACTCAATATCAATGGAACTCTGTTGTGTCGCCTACGATCACAATGGGCCGCTGGAAATATACATTAAAATGATAAATACCATGGGCAATGCCGCTTTTACGAGCTCAACGTATCAGCAAAATGGCGTCTAATATCTGGCTAGTGCTTAAACTAATATTTAATTTCTATCCTTTACGATAAGTCTAGATAACGAGGTATTTGTGGGTGAAAAATATACCAACTTCACAATAACACTATTATTAACATTGTCGATAAATCATAATTGATTGGATACAGTTGCACGGGAAAATCGTTGGTGACTATGCGTGCAAATAGATCAGAGAGAATGGAGCTTGGCGGCAGGACAAAGTGAAACAGCTGATTGGTAGATGGTGAGGTCACGTGGCCAATTTGGTTTCCCTCTTTTCCGGCGCAGGTCACTAATTTTCTTACTACAGTGCATTATCGAAGGGAAAAATATAAATCGAGAGTATAGAGTTTAAACTGTAGGAGTCAGTGCATCTGGAAAATTGGGGATATATTTTCGAGGAGTTGGAGGTTTGACGAAAACTGAAATTTCATGGAATATTCAAACTGTCATCATTTACTGCATCACAGTGAGGCCTAGTTCACCTTATCGAAACACCCCCACGTGACAGTGGTAAATAAATATAAAAAAAGATGGAATAATAATAATTGAAGGGGTTATTTACTGCATTAAAAATCATTAAGCGATTGAGAGATTTTCCAGTAATTTTATCCTGCCTTTTATCGAACGTCTTCGTCAGCTGTTCCACTCAGGATTTTTCAACACGGGGGCTAGTGCTGGTGTATTATGCATCAGAATAGTGATTATCAACTATTATAAACCCGGCAAGATGGACGATGTAGTATTCAAACTGTCAGATCACATTTTGGAGGTGATATTTTCGTTTTTAGATCTTCCAACATTGAGAAATTGTGCGTTAGTCTGTAAAAATTGGTATAGATTCTTGGAAGATGAGAATAATGATGTCTGGAGGGGACAGTGTCTCGGTAAATTAGCACAGGAGGCACTCAGTTCTGATCTTCTGTCGTCGGTGCCAACGTATAAAGAAAAATTCAGGGCTTTTTATCATGCCTGGAATCCAAACGACTGCTCCAGGAATATTTATATAAAACCCAATGGATTTACCCTCCACAGGTTTAATTATTATTATTTTCCTTCATTCAATGCGTAACTATTGATCAGTCTTAATCTGGATATTTAATAATATGGGAGATGATTTTGATCTTGTGAAAATAATTTCAGAAATCCTGTAGCCCAGAGTACTGATGCCTGCAGAGGTAAAATTGGATTCAGACATGGTCGCCATGCTTGGGAGGTCATCTGGGAAGGTCCTCTGGGTACAGTGGCTGTCATTGGAATTGCCACGAAGGAGGCACCCCTCATATGTCACGGATACGTCGCCCTTTTGGGCTCTGATGAACACTCCTGGGGTTGGAACCTAGTCGACAATCATCTCCTGCACAATGGCGATGCCCAGGGCAATTATCCTCTGTTAAATAATGCACCAAAATATCAAGTAAACATTACTTCCACCTCATTTTTATTTCAATCTCCAATTTACTTAATTTCAATGTCTATTTAATTTCAACAGGTCGGTGAGAAAATCAGAGTTATTCTGGACTGCGATGACAACACGTTGTCCTTCGAGAAGAATTACGAATTTCTTGGTGTTGCTTTTCGAGGTTGAATCATTGTCACGTACATTTATTCTATTCTATCGTTAATTCAATAATTCATTGCAATTGAAATTTATTTTCAGGATTGCCTGATAAGCGATTGTATCCGTCAGTCTCAGCGGTCTATGGTAATACAGAGGTCTCAATGGTGTACCTGGGGCCTCCCCTGGATGGCTAACATTTTATTATTGAACTCAATTACTGTTCCAAGAACCTAATGAGTGTTTTCACGTTTCATCTATCAATGTCCAGGGGAAAACTCAAATAATACGGAGATTTCAATGTTGAAGTTGCATTCCAGTGTTTCGAAAATGTTTTTTTTTTTGTTTTTAATGTGATTGTGGGAGGTATTTATTTATTTTTTGTTCAATTCGTGTGTGCGCGTTGTGTAGTTCGAATGAAAGGATTTTACGGCGTTGGAATTTCGGTTTCTATAATAATTGAATAGTTCTCAGTGAAAACAAATATTCTGTCCATTTCATGTGTAATATACAGGGAAATTCAATTGCTACAATAATTTTCGGTGGTATATACAGATAACTACTGTTTTTACATAATCAATGTTGATAATATTAATTAAGAGCCTCTGCGATTTTATCGTTGCCATTATTCAGTGTCATTAACGTAAAAACAATTTACATGTAAATATTTTCAATTTCATTTCATTAACGAGCAAAATATTCACATCTCAATTACAATACTTTCATTATTTTTGTATAAATTCAATGTATATAATCCGACTGGTGTTCAGGAAAAAAAAAACAATTTCATTTCGTTTGAAAATTTGTCATATGCATAAAAGATTCAATAGACATGTATTATATGTAAATAAATGAATTTATTTGGAACTAAAGAATTTCAATTGACTATCTAATTAAAATCACCAATTGAAATCATTGAAGAAATTTAATAGAAAAAAATTAATGAATTAGACATTTTTTCTATTAAATTTATTCACAAGTATAAATCTAGATATAATTAGTCAATAAATGGACTATTAAAAATCTGGAATTTATCGGGAGTTAAGTCTATTTGTACTGCACCCTAGGAATTTTTCAAGCATTTTAAGTACATTTAATTGAAACCCCTAATTACATAATCTGTAGAAATACCAATTGCTATAAAAAACATTTAAACAAAAAAAACAGGAATAAATTTCAAGAACTTGAAAAATATTTTTGAATGTCATGAGCTTGACTATTTCATTTTGATTAGTGATGTAGGCAGACTACTCAATCACAGAAGTTTATTTAAAATTTAAGAATAAAATTTATATTATTTAAATAAAATCCTGATTTAATCGGCATGAGCACATCCATTACACTTCTCCAGTTTTTCTTTGGTTTTTCCATCGTCGCCATTGCTGAGGGATTTCTCCTCGCAAGTTACATTTAAGCGTGGAAATTTCGTTAGGAAGAAATCTGATGAGAGACATATTAATTTCGATAGGAGAGGGCACAGCATCGCCTGATGTACAACCGCCCAGAGACGATAATACTGACCCTCGAAGGGATCCAAAACCGCTGGACACAACATATGACTGAGATTCACTTGCACAGGCTATAAAAATAATTGAACCACATCAATTAAAGGCACTGAATAAAATGACTAATTACTATAATTGCTGACCAATGCAGCGAGTTGAAGAATCCAGAAGTGATAAGCAAGATTGATTCCATATCCTAGAAAGCACCAGCTAAAATCCCTGAGAGGCTCTACACTGTAGGCACCTCCAATCCTCAAAAGATAATACGATATCACAATCATTAAACCGTGTTGGAGGTAGTACATGGCTTTATCAGCAAATATCTTTCTAGATTCAGTCTCTGGAAAAGCATAAGCGAGAATCGGTCCATTCATGAAATTCAACTGCAGCCTGAACAGTGCAGTAACTGTTGGACTAGGTTTCGCAGATAATAAGTACAACTGTCAAAAAATTGATAAAATTAATGGGTCATTACAACAATTCAGCGATTACAATAATAATTCTATATATAATAATATATAATAATAATTACCTGAACAGCTGTGGTAATGTGACAAGGATTAAGTAAATAAACGACAGTTCTACTGGAAAACTTGAATCCAATTTCGATTCCAAGGATAAGTGTCATGGTAACGAGCAGTAATTTTCTCCCAGTGCGATCCTGATTAACGCATTTAATTCTCTTTGGCAGGGATAAACTCCTGTACCCCTTCGCAACTAGATAAACAATTAATACAGACACTGAAAGTGTCTCCATTATTTTATATTTGGACGGCAAGTAGTTCGCACATTCAGGCCCCACATTACGTGGAATTGAGGCATTTACCCCCTCGTAGGCCCACTCCAGCATATTCACCAATTTTTAACTCTGAAAAATAAAATCCACACGATCACTCACTCCTACCACTGATTTATCCCACGTCTCGCTCACATATCTCTATTTATTCTCGATATAATTGATGCCCGAGGTTATAATGCAATGAAACAATTGGAGGGTCATACATACTGCAAGATACCGCATGCAGGGGTGACAAAAAACAAAAAAAAAAAGACAATCAGGAGAGAAAGGAAAAACGCGAATGTTCAGTCACTTGTGAATAATAACGGGGAAAATTTAGTTGTATTGATTGATTGGGGGATAATTTTTAAATTGATTATGAAAAATTGTTAATTAAATGAGTGTTTTTGAATTTATTGTACTTACGATTGATTGCAACCGATGGTTTACCCCCGTGAAAACGTCAATCGTTTCCAAGAGCGTCGACCAAACTTCGACTTTTATCGCGTGTTCTACTTGTCAATGACGTCATCATAACGTGATAATAACATATACTGGTAAGGGTTTAACTTAAATAATCGAATAGTAAAAGTCATCGGTCTATCGAATGAATATTTATTTGGGAATTTAACTGACAAATTACGTCTCACCAATGCAATAAAATATAACAATCTGGAAGGCGTTCCTCACGTGCATCAATTAACATTATGCTATTATCTATTTAATTAATTAATAAACGGGGAGAAATATTCAATAATGTCTACTTCATCATAACGACAATCCGAATTGAAAGACCAATTACCCAATCACCTAGTCCTTCAGAGCTATCGATTCTCCATTTTTTTTTGTCAACACATTTTTATCGAATTTTTCTCCTCGCTTGTTCTAGGTATTAATTCACTTCCGGTTATTGTTACTCTGGGATTTGAGCGACTGTTTGATCTCGAGGGCTAGTTTGTAGCCGAGTTCAGGTCTACGGTCACGACCCTCGACCATTGCCTTCACCTGGCTGGATGTGACGATGACGCCATTGCTGGCTATTACCATGGCCTTGGTTTTTTCAATGTCAACGAGATCAACCCCACGACTGCAATCGTCAATTAAAATAGTACGATAACCACTGGTGAGAGCATCAACAGCTGTTGCCCCAACGCAGACGTCGTAGGCTAATCCACATATGTAGATGTCTGTGGCACCTTTGTCCTGGAGTTGAGACGACAGTGTTGTCTCAGTGAGTTTTTTATTATCCCAGAAGACAGAGTACGAGTCGACCTCTGGATTTGTCCCTTTGTAGATTTTAATAGCATTGTCAACGATTTTCAGGTCTTTGTGGAGTTCAGCGCCCCAGGAGTCCTGGACACAGTGACGTGGCCAGAGCCTTTGTTTCAGGGAGGGTGGACCCTTGAAGGTGACGGTATCATAAACCTTTGCTTCCTCCTGGGGTACAGGACTCGATTCATCCACTTCCCTGAAGAAGATCAATTAAAATTTAAATAATTTCACAAATAGAGAAATAAAAATCGGGGAGACTCATTCATTAATAATTAATGGAGTTATGTAATCTAATTGTTATTACCGCATATGCAGATTATCGATGAAGGACACGTGATCAACTGGATGCCAATCAAGGGAATAAAATACTGCATCAAACGTCACTGTATCCAGGAGATGATTTATCGGTTCGATTACCTCGGACCCGTCGTGCTGTGCAGCACACTGTTTTATATTGAGTGAACCAGATATAAAATCATTTTGAACGTCAACAATGAGGAAGGCACACCTCGGTCGCGTGCAGACCTTTATCCAACGATTCCAGCACACCTTGAAATTGTTATTCTTAGTTACGACGTTTCAACAATGACGTAAGAAAATCCGAACAATCTTGATAACGATATTTTAATGATATTTCAACCGATTAGGGAAATAGAATAAATCTAGTATAATGAATAATAAAATATATATATTTTTCCCCGAATTTTCCAGTTTCGTTTTCCAGGAAAACGAAAATATTAAAAAAATGGCAATCGATCTGTTTTAGTTTCGACGAAATTACCATAAGAAAATAAATAAACAACTCTTACCTCAAACTCCTGGAGATCGAGGAGTCCGTCCTTTTTTAAATCAAATATATCAAAAATTTCGCGCAACTGTTTCTCCTCGACTCCATAAATTTTTCCCCGATCATTTCTAAACAGCGCCCGGCAAATCAATTCAAATTCACCAATTGATAAGAAACCATCGGCGTCTCTATCAAACGCGGCAAAACAAGCGTCCATTTCGCAGCCCTCAGTTCTTTTCAAGTCAACGTTAAAGTAATCCGAGGTTTCTATGCCATTTGTTAAATCAATAGAGGCGGATGAAAGTTTGACGCTTTGAAAAGTCGGTGAAATAGACATGATACCCGGTTTTTGCTATCTCGCGTTACTTCTTGGAAAGTCCTGGTGCAATACTCTATAACGGTGAAGCTCAATTGCGCTCAACTCTGCACAACAGGTTCCACACTGTCTCCCATTTACCAACACTAATGTATAGATTTCCTACTCATACATGCCCTCGGACACGTAAGACTTCCTCGACTTCATGTGTGGAATTTCCACACACCGCGCCAAAAGGTCACTTCAACTGCTATCTTTTTTTTTTCAATTCTTCTCACCTGATTTTAAAATAATTATCCAATTCTAACCGATTAGGGAAATAATAATAAACCCCATAATAATGAATATTAAAATATTTATTGAAATTAAATGAAAAAAAGTGTCTCCAGGTTTTTCTTGTAGAATTAATTTTTTTTATACAGGTAGAATAAAAAAAATATTCGCTGATAAGGCGTTAAAAAAATTATTACTATTGACTCAATCTGTGATGAGTCAGGAGAGCCACGTCGATGATAGCTTCCGGTTGCAATAATTCACTGCATTTGTATTTACTGGATTCTTCATAGGCGTATGTCACAGAAGTATCGGTGAGGTAGATGTTACAATGAGAGAGTATCAATACGCAATTTCGTAATCTCGCACATATTTCCCTGTCCTCGGGAGAGACTCTAGTCAAATCCTGGGTAAATCCACCCTCAGAACGATCAGTGCTCTGGGAACTGGCGCCAATCCAGACGTATCCGTTGTTCCCCAGAATGAGAGTCGCCCCATTCGGCAGATGATGGAAGTGAGTTTTTTTTCGTTTAATCAAGGCTGGAGGTACCTTGATCATCATCCCCTGGGACAATTTACCGTATTTGAGAACACGTGTGTGAAGAGATAGAGAACCATCTGCGTAGGTGCTCTGGACTTCGGCGCAGATTAGATCCCCTTCCTGAAGATATTTGCGCATTGTCTGCTCGTCCTCTGCTGATCGTCTTCTCTGGGATTATAAAATCCAAGTAAAATATTATCTGGATTAATTTAATTGGAGTACTTACCAATTCACCTCCTGGCAGATTGACACTTGACAGCAGAAGAGTAGAATCCATTTTCGAATTGGTATCAACTTTCCACCGGCTCTGCTGGACCTCTGTTATCCTCCCGATGATGACATCACCGATTTCACCTTGATATCGGGTTTTCAGGGGTCTGATTGAGATGAGTTTGTTGACCTTTTCCAGGACACCGGCAACAGATGCTCTCAAACACTCGTCATCGTCTACGTACGTCCCGTGACCTCTGCAAATTACAAAAATTCATTTCACAAATAACAATTCAATTTATTTAATCCTTTTTTTTAGTTTGAAATCAGTTTCATCATACCTCAGATAATCAACTTGATCCGAGACCTCTTCCCCTGGAGTATAAAATTTCGTTGGAATCTCCACTGGAGGAATAAAATTCGTATCCGTACGATCTACTGCCAGTCTCACCGAAATTCCAGGATATTCAACCATTTTTATCTAATTTATTTATACCAAAGCCTCAAAAAAATATTCCATACACAATTGTTTGAAATTATTTATGTCTCGAGGTTATGACGAATTATAGCACGTGTTATGGTCGGTTGAGCGCATGTGCAGATGTCAAAATATTCCGAAATTTTCACATTATCGATTTTTTTTCGAAAACAAGTCAGAAAATGTCATACATCTGTCCAAATCATTACCAGAGTCTCTCCTAAGTCTCAATAATTAAAAATCCCATTGAAGTGCTGGATAATAACACCCGTAATTAAAAAAATATTTTTTATTCTTTTTCTGACATTTTTTAAACGGCATAGGGATGTTTTTTTCGAGTCAGCGCTGGTATAAAGTGGATTTAGGGTTGATATTGTATATGAGCTAGGGGCTGGGTGCATTCCAATTGTTATAACAATGGAACAATAAAAATATGAGGCTCCACGTTCCACTGGACTGGATGGAAATAATACCCGCACAAGATAAATACCTGTGGATTGATTGAAATATCTTGAGCTTGATCGTTTTAATTCACTGGATACACTACTATAAAATCTACTAGCAGTTCAAGGTTACTTAATCCACAATTTTACGTATTAATTGAAAAAAAAAGAATGGCACCGTCCGGATTGGAAGTCATCCTCGTCGGGTTTATACTCGTTCTTCCATTTTTGTACGAGACGAGTAAAAGATTTAGGTATTATTTCAAATTCCTCATGTATTATGGAATCGTCATGATAAATTCAGTCATTCTCATCCCGATAATGACATTTCGTCCGGGGAACGTCAAGAATTTAATGTGAGTAAATTAAAATATTAAAATATTATTTTTTATTATAAATACAATTTAATGATATTGTATTTATTTATTTGATAGATTGGCATCTTCATTGTGTCATCATATAAGTACTCTTCTGGGTCTGCGATGGGAGCTGAAGGGACGAGAGCATTTGGAGAAAGAGCAGGCTTGTATAATCGTCGCTAATCATCAGAGCTCAATCGATATTTTGGGAATGTTTGATATTTGGCCGATCATGGACAAGTGCACAGTTGTTGCTAAGAAGGAGATTTTTTATTTCTGGCCGTTTGGACTCGCTGCCTGGTTATGCGGACTCATCTTCATCGACAGAATGCACTCGGAAAAGGCACGAAATACTCTCAATGAAGCTACGGATAATATTAAGAAGAAGAAGGTGAAATTCTTGTCACTCCACATGATATTTTCTGATACTAGATAATATACTAAACTTGAGATTTTTTGGACAGATTAAATTGTGGATTTTTCCTGAAGGCACAAGACACAACGACGGAGAAATTCATGATTTTAAAAAAGGCGCGTTTCACATGGCAATCAACTCTCAATTACCCATTTTACCTGTTGTGTTTTCATCGTACTATTTTTTGAATACGAATGAAAAAATGTTTGATCCAGGTAATTATTTTTTTTAAAATTATTCCAGGTTAATCGTCATGAGCGGATGGAATACTGAAAATTTATTGCGTCACGTTTATTTGTTTTTAGGACGGGTAATTGTTACAGCTTTACCCCCGATTTCCACCGAAGGCTTGGGGCCAGATGACATTGAATCCCTGATGACAAGAACACGATCGACGATGTCTGAAGTATTTCACGTATCTAGTCATGAGGTTCAGACGGCCTCATGAATACTTCTCCCAGTAATAAAAATATTCCACAATCTCGTCAGAATACGAAGGCGCACAAAAAAAATCGACAAATTTTCATCGTCGAAAACCAAAGACTTGACTACGTTTTACCCATTTCGATAATTTATCATTGATTCGATGAGTTGTGCATCCGACTTATTAATTCCAAAAGTACTCATTAAGATTAGTATTGTCCTTATATTTTATACACAAGAGATGCTTTTTCATCTCGACGTAAATTTCATGGCCATACGTTATGTATTTCAGTATTATAATTTTTTCTGATATCAATTATTTATACTCTATTGAGAACTCGAAGTGATTTTCATCGTGGCATATTACCAGTAAGAATTTAAACAATCGTGTGAGATCAAATAAATTGTAGTCTGATAAATACGACTGAACGATTTTTTTTATTGGTCTCAGTCCTATCTATTATCAATAATCAATATGAAAAATCGAGAAAAAAAATGAAATAAAATGTGAACTAAAGTTACATCGAGGGAAAATCAAGTCCAGGAGAGCCTCGTTTATCCTGGCCCTCAGTCCAGGCCTTGGCGATGCTCCTCTTTATCTGATCATCACCCTCCATGTACATTTTTTTTATCAGATTCATCAAATTCGGTTCTGGATCACTGCTACCTCCCACCTCAGGTACTAGCGGTGCTTTGCCTTCCTTGATCCTTTTCTCAATTTCAGTTACATGTGACCAAAGTTTCGGTGATTTTTTCATCAAGAAAACGACAATCATATCAGTCTTAGATTTTGTGTAACTCTTATCAGGATTGATGTCATCGCACAGATTTGAGATTGGCAGCTCGTAATTCTTGTTGTCAAGGCCAAAGACACGAAGGTGCACAGACCTATCATTGAAATCACACGTTATATTATCCGCTGGTACTGTGTGGACATTCTTCAAGGTAATGTACAGCTTCATGAATTTATCTGATTCATCCCATGCGTAATTGGTTAATTTTACAGTATAGCATTTCGAAGCTGAACTGTTGGGAATTGATTTCGATGGCTCGTTGTCATTTAACTCTTTCTCCTTGAGATTTATCAATTCCGTTTGCAGTTTTCTTAGCTCCAGAGTGAGCAAATCCTTCGTTTTCTGACGTTTAGCCAGAGAAATAACCGACTCGATGTCGTTGATGTCCAGTTGTATCTGAAAATAATAATTATTACCGAAAAATTATAAAAAATCTCTAGCACTCTCAGTTTGTATTGCATTCCATTACACTTACTTCATCAGCTGCTCTACTCGGCATTTTATTACTCATTAACACATACACTTCTGTTAATAAACAATAATTATAGAGAGTCCAGAGGCTACCAGAAACTTCTGAAGATAATGAGCGGTTTCCTCGGATTTTATCTCATAACCTCAATATTCAACAATCCATTTCCAGTTTGTTATTAAATCTCAGATCGCATATAAATTATTTAACAATTCAACTAAAAAAATCAATGACTGAATATAATTTAAATATTTATCTTATTTAGTTAACAGCAGTGCTGCATGAATAATTTGTTATTTTCAAATAACAATTCAAATTTTTTTAGGGACTTAATTTTTTTATGTTAACAATGTTGGCTAGTCTGAGCAAATGTCACTGATGGGTAGATGTCATCCCCTATCATCCAGTTGCTTTAATTCTGACAACCGAAAGATTGACATTTTAAATAATTAATTTACAACTCTAATGCAGTGAGAATTTTCCAGCCTGTGGCATTTAAATATTGTTGCTATAATTAATAAACTTTGAAGGTCACCATGGTATGTTGAATTTAATTAAATTCACAATCTGCATTCTAACCTGCAGTTGTCATTTTCCAAGGGATTAATTTATTTTTGTCATTTTAAGAAAATGTTTCTTGTTATTTCATTGTAAAATTAATAACTATCGAGAGCCAATCGGAATTTATCGACATTTAATCTGAAGTTTTTGTCTTTTTGTTCAGCTGGTACTAGTTCTGGGAGATCTACACATTCCACACAGATGCAGTAGTTTGCCGAGTAAATTTAAAAAGCTCCTGGTACCTGGAAGAATTCAACACATATTGTGTACAGGGAATCTCTGTACAAAAGAGTCATACGACTACTTGAAAACACTTGCAAGTGATGTTCATGTGGTCAGAGGTGATTTCGATGAGGTATTTTAATAAAAAATTATCAATTCACTAAAACTAAAGTTAAAATGAAAAAAAGAACGGCTAGTGGGCGGTTAAATAATGGTGATTAATAAGAATAATTTCTTCAACAATAGAATCTGAATTATCCTGAGCAAAAAGTGGTGACAGTTGGACAATTCAGAATCGGTCTCTCACACGGACATCAAGTGGTCCCCTGGGGGGATCCTGAGTCTTTGGCTCTAATTCAGCGACAGTTGGACGTAGATATTCTAATATCAGGTCACACACACAAATTCGAGGCTTACGAACATGAGAATAAATTCTACATTAATCCAGGATCAGCCACTGGGGCTTATAATCCCCTCGATACGTAAGTCTACCTCCATTTTCTTCATTAATTATTCATATAAATCTGAATATTCTCGAATTTTTTGATTTGGTAATAAATATTCACTCGATATGTAACTCGATAATTTCTCTGATAGATCTGTCATTCCTTCATTCGTTCTCATGGACATCCAAAGCTCGACAGTCGTAACATACGTCTATCAACTCGTCGGGGATGAAGTTAAAGTCGAACGAATTGAATACAAAAAAAGTTAACAAGTTTTATAAATAAACAAAATAATCACCTACCCGGTGAATAAACTCAAACAATATTTAACAGTCAAAACTAGTGACTGAAGACTAAAATATTGATTATTAGACCGCAGGTCTATGCAATTAAATCTTGTATTACCGATTTATCAACGCATTCTGTAAATAAACAATTGTAATCAATGCAAATAATGTATTTGAATTGACCCTGTGTAAATGAGGGCCATGGAGGAGTCCATGCAATTGATCACGTACTCCAGCCAGTCAATGGTAAATTACGACCTGCATTTACTCGCGTACACGCGTTTTATTTCTGCCCTCGTACTTAGTATTTACGTCAGTCATAATATATGTACGGAGATTCGTCGGTACCTCCTATCCGAATTGAGGGTCAAGAGGTCAATGTTTATCCTACAATACATTAAATTTAACCCAAATAAGGCGTATCACAAGTGATAAGAGGAGGAGAAATAAGAACGACCCACAGCTGCTGCTTTATTATTGTCGGTGGGGTCAGGGGAGGGGTCAGGGGAG